GCGCCACAGAGGCTGCGTGCAGCTTTGCAACCCAGCGCTCAACCACTGCGCCACCGGGGAGGCCCTCCACGCAGCTTTCTATAGTTATACCACATCTTCTTAATCTACTTATCTTTCCATTAGCACTTAGGTTGTTTCTATAATTTGGCTACTGTAAATAGTGCTGCAGTGAACATGAGAATGCATGTATCCTTTTGAATTAGTGTTTTTCCATTTAGGAGTAGAAATGCTGGATCATATTGTTTATCCATTTTTGATATTTATAGAAACCACCCAGTGTTTTCCAAAAGGATTGGACCAGTCTGCATTCTCATCAATACTGTATGAGAGTTCCTTTTTTTTTTTTTTAACCAAACCCTCACCAGCATTTATTGTTGCTGATTTTTTTTGATATGGGCCACCATTCTCAGGAGAGGGAGGTGGTATCTCATTGTGGTTTTGATTTGCGTTTTTCCAATGATAAGCTATAATGAATATTTTTGCATATGCCCATTTGCCATCTGTATGTATTCTTTGGAGAAGTGTCCCTTCTGCCCATTTTCTGATTGGGTTTTTTGTTTTTGTTGAGTAGTATGAGTCCTTTGTAGGTTTTGGATGTTAGCTCCACATTGGATGTGTATATATTTTCTCCCAGTAGGGTGTCTTTATGTATTGATAGTTTCTTGAGAAAAATCTTCTTAGTTTGATGTAGTCCGATTTATTTCTTTTGCTTTTGTTTTCCTTGTCATTGGAGTAGAGTCCCCAAGTCATCATTGAAGTCAATGTTGTGGAGTGTTTTACCTATATTTTCTTTAGTGTACTTAATGGTTTCAGCTCTTACTCCCAATTTTTTAAAATCCATTTTTGAGTTAATTTTTGTGTATGGTATGAGAGATTAGTTTTATTTGTCTGCATGTGGCTGTCCAGTTTTCCAGCCCATTTGTTGAAGAGACTTTCCTTTTTTCATTGTATACTCTTACCTCCTTTATCATGGATTAACTGTCCATATAAAAGTGGGTTTATTTCTGGACTCTGTTCTATTTCACTGGCCTATCTGTCTGATACCATACTATTTTGATTTTCATATCCATGTAGTATAGTTCGAAGTCTGGGAGTGTGATACCTCCATTTCTCTTCTTTTTTTGTCAAGATTACTTTAGCTATTCAGGGTCCCACAAAGTCCATTTATGATATTGGATGCTCTATAGAAGAAACTCACATGCTAGAAAATCAAACCTATAGTTTTCAGCAATTTCCAAGTTTAATAGTAGTTTTTGAGAAAGAGAAAGTATAGTTGATAGAGACACCCAACTTAAACTCAACTTTGGGAAGTTACAGTCACGTACTGAGAATTCTTTGTGAGGAAATTGAAAGTCTGGACATGTTAAATAGCTAACATCTTTATCAACAAGCATGGAGAATGGAACAATGTGAACTCAGGGATTCATAGAATCAGGGAAAGTTGAAGTTTCAGGATGGGGGAAAAAGGAGAACCTGGACCACATTAGGGCAGAACTATTATCATTATCTTAATAGATTTAACTAAAAGATTTAACTAAATGATTTAACAGATCCTTAACCAAGGATTTCCCCATTTTTTAAACAAGAAGCCAACATCAAAACTATATTGCATATTACACATAATTCATTATGAATATAATTGTGGTTAACTCTGGTAAATTGTTTAGTCTAATCCATTGTGTAGAATAACATAACAGCTGATACTTTTTTTGGTGACCATAAAATTCTCACTGGAATAATTTCTTTATATATTATTGAAGAGAAATGGCAGAGCAGGGTGGAATCCCTGATGATAATTTTACTCAAGAGTCTAGAGGGCAGAGCAGGTCAGTTTCTTTTCCAGAGAATGGTGTCTACTTAAGGCATATTGCTTGCGTAAATTCAGAAAGAGAAAGAATTGCATAGTATTATAGGCAGTAAAGAGATTTTAGAAAGCCATCACTAGCCAGTCCTTCAAAGCTTAAGGAATTTGAAGTCAGGACAGTAAACGACCTGTCCAAGGCCCTACGGGCCAGAGGATAGCCTGTGAGTATAGATATCCAGGTCCTACTTGTTTCTTCACCCTTAGCCTCCTGATTTCACCAAATTTGCTTGTTCTAGCAAAGGAGAAAGTGTCTCTTAATCTGTTTCTGGAGTAAAATTTTCTCTGCCATTTGCAACACTCCAGAGAATAGAAACATAACAAAATCATTGTTTTGCGTTAATACTTCCATTTCCAGCCATCTTAGTAATCAATCACAACTTTTATCTTCTTGCCTGAAGAGACAAGGACATTTAATTCACAACAATTTCCTTTTTCCTTGCTCTGAGTGACTCTATTAAATAAAACATGATGGATCACACTCTACATTTGCATGCCAGCTAAAACAGGGCCGAGTCTCTGCTAGAACAGAGGGGATCCTGCCCTTGCCTAAATATGACAGAGGCGAAATGAAGGTTAGTGCTGAAAAATGCTAAAATTCTGCATATGTGAGCATTATTCACTTAAGAAAAGAGGTCAAATTAACAGGCAGAATGAAAACTATGATTAAAAATTAATAAATATTTTCCATTCAACAAAGATTGTAGTTCTGTCTAATTTAGATTCGTTTTAAATAACATAATCTTAGAGAACTGAGCCAGGGCAAAATCTGGTTAAGTGTTCATATTTCTTCTGTGTTCTTTTCAGTTAATTCTTTCCTTCTCTTTACATAAGAATAGAAAAATTTTGAATCTGTACATATATAGGGGCTGTTCATCTTTCCTGTTTTCAGAGTGCCCTGGTTCTTGTCTTATGTGTATTTTAGAGTAACCCAATGTACTTCACAGCACTCTACATATGGAGCTTTTGATTATGGTGCTGACAGGACCATAAGGGTATTACCCAGTCCAGCCACCTGGTTTTCTATAAAGGGTCACATTTATGCTTCTAGATTTTCATCTGCAGGGGACAAACCATAAGCTTATGGTTCCTTAAATTCACAATTCAATAACGAGGTATTGAATGTAGTTTCTTCTTAGTGACAATGCTATTTTCATTCATTCATTCAAGAGACCTTATTTTGTGCTGGGAATGGAAAGGTAGACAAGATACAGTATCTTCCCACTAGAAATGTGGAGAATGACGAAGAAATCTAGATGAATTAGCAATAGTAATACAGTGTGACAGGTATAATTATGAAAAGATATGAGATTCTGTGCGAGCACATTGGAGAGGTTCATGATGCAGTTTGAGTGCTAAGGAAAGAGTTAAAGAGAAAGATGCAAACTGAAGGGTGGAGAGGAGTTAGCATAGTGAAGGGGTTGGGGAATAAGGCAGAGGGAATGATCTGAGGCGAGAAAGTCAGGCTCATTCAAAGAAAAAAAGTGCAGTTTATATAGAGGATGGCTATATATTGACAAAGATGAGAAAAGAAGATGGTGATAAAATTTGTTTAGCTTTTATAAGCCATGTTAAATATTTTTAACTTGCTATTTATTACAGTGGTAAGTCATTGAACGATTGTCAGAACAAGAATGACAAAAATACATTTATGCCACAGAACAATTCTCATGCTAGAGTATGGACGATAGATTATACCCTGGGATCTAGCTACAAATTTTTTAATCCTAGTTGATCAGAAGGAACCTTTAGGAAATGAGCAAGTGTTGGAATTTCTACTGACTTCTCAGCCAAATTTCATAGTTTCCCAAGATCCCAAAGTGGGATTCTCTAGTATTACATTCCCCAGGAGGGCAAGGTTGTGCCAGTTGGCATGGCCTACATACCCATCTAGACATGGAGATGTCTCACTCCTTTTATCAGGGGATCTGCAGTTCTTTCTAAGTCTTAATTTTTCCCTAGATGCAAGCTGGTGAATCACAGTTCTGATAGCAATATTTCCTTGAGAAGACCCTATTTCTCATGATCTCAGTTTATAAACTCTTGAATATTCAGAGATTTGTTCACTAGCAGAATACCTTTTTCCATTTTTTTTTGATATTCATAGTCCCTCATTTTAATTCTCTGTCCACTTAGGGGAGGAAGTTAGCTGACATCCCCTCCAATGACTTTTCAAAGAAGGTTGGTCACTTTGTTTCTGAAGGCCCTACCCCATGGACTCTGCCGGCTCACCTTAGGACTTATGTTAATTAAGGTTATGTATATGAGGGGGCCTCCCTGGTGGCTTAAGGGTTAAGTCTCAGCGCCATATCATGCCATCATTGTTAGGCCTGAGTTTGATCTGGGCCAGAGAGCCAATTCACACATTATGCAGCAGACATCCCCTGTCTCCCCCGCTGCTCCCCTTAGCAGTGTATTTCAGTAAATCCACTTGTTCTGCTCTCCACTCTGTCTCTGGTGAGTCCTTTCAACCCCCGCACCTCTGGCCTACACCCCATTTCTTCTATGCAAAAAAAGGCTATGTATATGAGAAGTAAATAGTCCCCATTTATTTCTATGAGTATCAGAGAAAATAGGAAACACTCCTTTTGCATGTTCCATTAGCTCCTCACTACCCATTACAGTCCACCACCTTGTCATATGTAGTACAGGTCTCACATGAGTACAGAACCAGACTGCTGACAGGAGTAATCCTCAGTTTTTCAGTTTGTTGAATGGACTCTGACTAGTTACATCAGGGGGTTGTTTGTTTCATCCCAATCACTTTTAAATTCCAGTGTGAGGGCCTCCCCAGTGGTGCAGCAATTGAGCTCTGGGCTGTGAGGCTGCCCGCAGCCTCTGCAGCACTGGTTCGATCCCCGCCTGCCAGCAAGGGTTCCACATGGCTCGCAGACCTCTCCTGCTGTGCCCGCTGCTTCCCTCAGCAGTGTACTTCGTCAGTCTGTCTGTTCTGCTCCCTGCTCTGCTCTGGTGAATTCTCTCACCCTCCTACACTTCTGATTGTACCCAGTGCTTGTATAAATAAATAAATAAATCTTTAAAAAAAATAAATTCCAGTGTGAGTTTTAATTTAGAGGTTAAGATAGATCACTTCTAAAGCAGGAGGTATTATCTCATACATATTCCAGGAGGAGTTTAGAGTGACCTGATGAGGAGTGAGGTAGTAGGATGGTCTGAGGAAGGTTTTTGGGGTAGCCATGACTTCCTCCTTCCATGAATAGGTTCCTTTTTTATTTCAGGCAATTTTCTGTATTGAACAGGAAGTGCTAACTCCTACGTTCATGTTGAACCTAGTTTATCAGGTCTCAAATGCTCGTATCACTTGCTTATGTCATTTGCTGTAGTATTACCTGAAAAAAACAAAAGAAAACATTGTCTGGCATTGTATCAGCCTAGATACCAGAAACAACTGTTGAACATGCCCTGTGTCTCCAAGGAAACCTTTTAGGCAGAGCCATCCTAGGATCCCACATTCATTTCTCCAGAATATATATTAACACTGTTAACACTTTCTGATTGAATTCAACATTCGAAGAAGCCATGAGTTTTCACCTTGCTGTGCCTCAATGCTGAAGGTGCAGTGTTGCAGAGAAGGGGGAAGTCTATCATTTAGGACCCAAAGGTGGTGCTGGGTATTAGGCTGACAGGAGCCATCAAGGTGAAGGCAATGGATGGATTTTTCACAAGGGAGGTGGCTATGTTAATAAGGATTATCTGAGTTAGTTCAAAATAACCAGCTGCCTGTCTCCACAGGGAGAATGATTTGACATAAATGAAGACAAGGACAATGATCAAGTCTGAAAGAGAGTTAATTGAAAAGGAGTAACCTACTCTGATCTGCAGATTGAGTTTCTTAGGAGGTTTGGGGAAGTCAGAGTGAGTCAAAGAATTTTACAAGCAGGGATTTTCCCTGGGAGACACAAACATCATAACTTTATTGACCTCAAATCAGGAAAAGGCCAACTTCAAAGCAGCTCAAAGGGTGTTAGTTTCCAGGGAATGCTTCTCTTAATTGCAATGTTCATTTAAATGATTTTTTTCTTTTAGACTTAGATAAGCTTTTAACAAATATCAAAGGAAAAGAGAATGAAAGAATGGGCATTAAGAATTTGACCCTTTTCAAAAATCTTCTAACTAAATGCTTCAGCCTTTGAAAGATAAGTTGGTTGAAGACCTATTTCTCTATTAATTATTCTGGGACTTAAGGATTAATAGGTATCTGTCTCAGAAGAGCCAGCAGTGGTTTTGTCTTGATGGCTAGGAATGATATACCATTTATTTCCTACTGTGTCCTTTTGTCTGTTCAAATGTCCTCTCTTTAGACAAGGTGTCTAGGACCAACCCACTATGTACATTAATGTCTCTATCATTGTCTATCAATAACTACCTAGATGCATTTCTCTTTATGCTAGCTAACACGATATCTTACTATATACTTATTTGTCTGTTTATCTTTCTAACCTGTTTGACTGTCACCTCCATGAAGACTTTGTTTAATTTATTGCTCTATCTTCAGCACCTGGACTAGTGCTTGGCCCTGTTAAAATGAATGACCAAGTACCCTGGGTAAGAATTTTTATGTTTATTTATAGTAAGCTATATTCATTTTCCCATATTTGGAAAGCTATTTTATTACAATTTAAAATTTTTCTTTTATGGTGAAACAATAATGCCAAAGAGATAAAAGTGCCACTAGCAATAAATAATGAAAAAGGTTCAATGTCACATAAGTGAGCATTCTAAATGTAAATATGCTGCAAAAGTAAGTTAGGTGGAATGAACAGTGAAGAAGCTTATTTTTTATTTTCTCAACTGTTTCAGAATGAGAACATCAGGCTTGGGTTTGCTTACCACGACCTGTTAATTATTATGTGATATTTGGAATGGTGGAAGTATTTCTAAGTGAAGAGTGCAGACAATGAAAAGCTCTTTGAACATTGAAAAGATTCTCAGTGTTAGAATCCCCTGTCCGTCTTTATAATTCTCCAATCTCACCATCATTTGTGGGCACATGTGAACTTACTTACTTGTCTGTATGTCCATGTGCTCCCTGCTTCTCTGGTGAGCCCTGTCCTCATCCCTTACTAGGACATGCTGTCTGTTCATTCAGGGATTGTTACCTGGGTTTGGCCATATTGCCCCACAACTTCTGGTAAAATGAACCTATTTTATAAAATAAAGGAAACCATCCTTGAAACCATCAGTAGCAAGTGCATTTGGCAGAAATGTTAGACTTTTATTTAAAATACTATTTGATATGAGGAAATATATAAAGAGTCACTTTAGTTTTCCATCACTTCTGTTTTACCAAGATTTCTCCTGTTTTAGCAATTTTCCAAAAAATATTTTTGCTTCCACAATTCATAAGGTCATCTTAATTCATAGCAGTTTTATCATTAGTAAGATCTGCTTCCCTGCAGGTTGTCGTCTTTGCAGGTATTTTGTTGTGACTGTGTTACTTCTTATTCTTCTTTGGTCTGGCAGATTGCCTTTGATTATTCTATATGGTCCTCTCCCTTTTACTTGCACTGTTTCATCTCACATCTTTCTTCATTGAAATTTAAATAAATTTCTTCCAGTTATGGGGAGAGTAATCTTCATTCTCTAATCAAAGCTTATTAAATCCAAATGATCCATTCAACCAAATTTCAACAGAAGATAGAAAGGGGTTTCTAAACCAATGATTATAATGATGTATAACTTACACATCATGTGTATCAGAAATATAATTAACTTGCTTGTTATTTACTGACTTCATCATTATATCTGCATGAGCGAAGCTTAATTACTCGGTTGCTTTTAACCACATTTAATTTATAAACTGTCATGCCAAAAGTGCTCCAATTGCTATAAAATGGTTAAAGCCCCAGAGGAAGGAAAAGATGATAAAACCTGCATATGTGACTACAGGATTATTTACAGTTTCTGGTGTACTTCTGACTTCAAAGTTGTGTAGATTATTTAAACAGCATTTCTCTTAATCATTCTCTCTAGCTGAGACCACTGGAGAATTGTCTTCGAGTTCAGTTCTTGTACTAATTATTGTAAATCTTATCTTGTGGAAAAAAGAAACAATTATAATTTCTCAGAAATTTGGTGAATGTCATGTAAAATGAGAAGGAAGGGGGAAATCACACAGCAAACTCTCAGGATTGTGCCTTAGGGAGAGGCCCCTAGAGAGTATTAGATGAGTGCTTTTAGTCCAATTTCCTTTTTGTTTTGTAGAGGGATAAACTATATAATTCCAGAGGACTGTGTGATGTTCCAGTCTTGCTATCCTCCAGTCAAAGCCCACCAGAGACACTTTAAGTGATGAGAATTTGGGTTTATTACTTGATGACAAAAGGGAGACTGGCCTCTTGAGCAAGTATGGGGGTCAAAACAAGAGGTAGATTGGTTGTAGAATTCAGCTGTATGTTAGGTGACTTGAAGAGGGATTTGAGGAGGCAGGAGTCTCCTGTGTATGAGTTCTGAGGAAACAGGGACAGTTCTATACTTGGAGTAATACTTTTTATTTAGGAATGGGGCTAAAGCTCTAGTTGATAAAACAGCATCTGGTACTGGCAATAGCTGAGAGAGGAGAATATTTGTTAATTTCTGTGATTTACTTATAGGCCTTATTTTTGTGTGGGGTCGGACATGATTGCAAGTGATCTTGTTTTTGTCCCACTCTGCTACAATTGCAGAGTGACCTTGACTGATATTTGTGTTCTGAGATGTTGTTTATGTTCAACAGAACAACACCACAGTCTACTTGTGTCAGGCCAGCTCCCAGCTGACAGCTATTAAGCTTCTTTATTATTTCTCTTTAAGATCCAAAATGGAACAAGGGGAGTGGTTGTGTCTAAGCATGTACATACGTTTCTTGATTTCAAGGGCTGAGTCCTTCTCAGTAATGCTTGCCAGACACAAAAATCCAAAATGCAATAGAGGTGTTGTGAGAAATGCTTGTGATAATGTATGATCAGCCCACGGTAGACTCTGCTGCGGATGTTTACAGGACCTCCTGCTTCTGTTCACATCCCTGTCCCATACTTGTTGAGTTAGAATGATCTTCATGGCAGTGGTTGAGCCAGAAGTTTCTCTATCATGTTAAAGATCAGAAATAGGCAGATTAGGGCTGGTATAGTGGCTCTGCTCCATGAAGCAGTCAGGAATCCAGTCTACTTCTGTCTTGATACTTATTTTTTTTAATGGTTAAGACATAATCCAAGGTAGCTTCTGTAACTCTAGCCATCACTTTGGCATTTCAGACAACAGGAAGGAGGAATAAACAAAAATGAACAGGGACAAGAACCTCACACAACTTTTAAAGATTTACTTATTTTTATACAAGAACTGGGGTATAGGTCAGAGGTGTGGGAGGGTGACAGGATTCACTAGAGACAGAGTGGGGAACAGAACAGGCAGGCCAACCAAAATACACTGTTGAGGGCAGCAGCAGGCGCACCATGAGAGGTCTGCCCCACCATGTGGGTCTCTCCCTGGCCGGCCAGGAATCGAACCCGTACTGCAGAGGCTGCGGACAGCTTCATAGCGCTGCGCTCAACTCGCTGCACCACCAGGGAGGCCCACAACTACTTTTTAATTTTCACATATAACCACATTTTCCTGAAAGTTTAGTCTCTATATAGTCTTTATTCTTGGTGGCTACATGCTAAAATTAGCAGGTTCTGCTTCCTGATCCCTTCTTATTTTCAAATACGGTTCTGGATATCAGTCCTAGAGACACTGAAGATCTGGCTCCCTGTCAGTCTTGGCCTTTCATAGAGTCTCTGTGCATTGTTGTCTTTCTCACTTTTGTGCCTGTCCTTCCTCTTTAAACCAGAACACCATGAAGTTTTCTTACGCTGTAACACAAGTGATATTTCCACTTTGTACTTATTTCTGTTTAGCTTTGATCATGTTTCTATATAGAGTTCAAGATAGTGAAGGAGAAGGGCAAAGTAAAATCAGGGCAGTGAAGAAGGGGAATAAGAGGGAGAAGAGGGGAGAGACAAGATGTGATCTCATCAGTAACAGGACAGTAAGTAAAAAAAGATATCTTCCAAATTAAAAAAAAAATGAATTTTATACCCTGATAAACTGTTAATTGAGAATGAAGAAGGAATGAAAATATTTTTGGAGAGGCTCTATCCTGATTTTTAAAGATTTATTTTTATTAATACAAGAACTGGGGTACAGGCCAGAGGCGCAGGAGGGTGAGAGGATTCACCAGAGACAGAGCAGGGAGCAGAACAGGCAGACTGACTGAAATACACTGCTGAGGGGAGCAGCGGGCGAGTCAGGAGAGGTCTGCTGCGCCATGTGGGAATCTCCCTGGCTGGCTGGGATCGAACCCTCGCTGCAG